GCACGGTTTGCGTTTCCACTGCAGTTCAGTACCGCTTTAGAGTGGGCGGGATTATTCACATGTCGTTTAAGTTGCGCCGCCTCTACTACCACGACTCCTAAAAAAAACGTTTCGCCCCATCAAGCTCTCGCTGGATCTGCTCCTCTGCTATCAACGAGAGGAACGTCTGTTCTTCCGCAAAAAAGTTGGGACTGGATGAGAACACTATTCGTTGTCGTTCTCCCCTTTGTGACTTCTCTTTGTTTGAGTTAATACATTTCATCCTATATTTAAACGGCTCTAACTTCGAAGTAGAGGAGGTTGGAGAAGTTAATAGTCGTTCTCGTCCAGCCCCTTCTGAGAACCACTGGGCCTCGCCAGCTCACCCCATGTTGAGATTCTCCACATACCTGGCCATTGGTTCCGACCATACCTATCCTCCTGTGTTTCCCCGAGCCCGGAAGTGGGTTTCTAACAGTGCTGACCTGGGGGCTAAGATTGCGGACACCGTTATGACATCTGTCTGGTCAGCACTGAAATCTGCCATCCATCCTCCGTTTCCAGCTCCACGAACCATTCCGATCCTCAGCCCAGAACTCGCGGCCACCTCACTCTCAAGCCCAGAACCATCGGCCGCCTCACTCGCAAGCCCTTCGACCGTTCCATTCACACCTAACCAAAGAAGGAGGACGAGGAGAAAAAGACAGTTCTCCACCCTCATCCTTTCCCTGGAGTCCGCTCCAGTGTCGGCTCCAGCCGCAGAGCTCACTCCAGTGTCGGCTCCAGCCCCAGAGCTCGCTCCAGTGTCGGCTCCTCCAGAGCGCCCTCAAGTGCCCGCTCCTCGAAAGCGCCCTCCAGAGCGCCCTCAAATGCCCACTCCTTGAAAGCTCCCTCCAGAGCGCTCTCAAGTGCCCGCTCCTCCAGAGCGCCCCCCCATGATTTCTATTTTTTCCCAAGAAAATTTTTTTTAGGAGGGAGCATATACCCGTGGCTGAGCCGGCTAAGGCCACGGAGGATCTGCCATGGCCTCCTGAGTCCCCTGATCCGCCATGGCCCCCTGAGCTGCCAGCTCTGTCATGACTCCCCGAACTCCCTGATCCGCCATGGCCCCCTGAACTCCCTGATCCACCCTGGAGGCTCTCCTTGTCTCCGCCCTGTTCCTGTCCTGCACCAGCCTCCAGGGCGCCCACCCCCCCCCCTCCCCGATGTTACTGTTACGGCGTGGGACGCGCCTTCCGGGAGGGGGGTGATATCTGTCACGTGTTGGTTTCTGTTTAGTTCCTGTCTGCCCTTATTTGGTTCAGTTCCTGTTCTCATTTAGTTAATCATCATTCATTAGTTTCCACCTGTGTTGTATTAATCATCTCATTAGTTCCCTTTGTTTCGGTTTTGCTTAGAAGTCCTCAGTTCTCCCGTAGTCTTCGTCCATTCACCGTCATGTTTAGTTTGCTCTTAGATGTTTCTGATTTATCTGTCTCCTGGTTATTCTCTTGATTTGAAGTTGGAATTAAAGATTGTGTGCTGGATTACTCCTGCGTCGTGCGCTTGTCTCCTGAGAGCACAGTACCTGTGACACAATACAAATCGTTCAAATATTATCTGTTAACAGTGGTATTCAGCTGACTGTCTTTTTAGTAAAAAAAAATAAGTAGTAGTAAATGTTAGATATATAAACCTAAAGAGAAACATTTGCAATCAATAAATTCATATTTACTGGTATTGTGCTTTTTACAATATAAAATATTAATATGTAATAAAAATCCTTTGTATTTAAATTATTTTAATTTAATGCTACTGACAGCCATAAACACAATACATTCTTAAAAAATCTTTTTTCTTTTCTCTCAAGTGCTCCACAGATCATGTAGCACCGTCTTGCAACCCCAACACTTGAATACACCTGTGCTAATATAAACATACTATTATAATTTAGGTTGCTTGTTGAAAGTAAAATGTAAATTTTGTTCCATAACCTGGAAACTGCTTAAATGTCAGATAGAAAAAAAATCTAAAATTAACTGCTTCTCAAGTTAAGTCCACTTCACACCACCATCTATAGGTTCTCTCCTTTTCTTCAGTTCAGAATTCAGCATGAAGCACAGTCGTTCATTATGCTAAACTAGGGCAGCATAGCTTCAGCAGCCCTCCCCAATGACAGCTAGTTTAAAAAAGATTAATGTCATCCTGAATCTGCAACGAGCATGCATCCTTTTCAACACTTTCCCATTCCAGTTGTTTTTCTTTCCACCAACAGGTACAGAAAATGCCCCTCTCTTTCTTTAATGAAAAATGGCAGTGGCACAATATAATATTAGTCGCTGCGGAAGTAATCAGATTGAGGGTGACATTTTGGCCAGGACTGTTCCCTTAATTCCTGATATGGTGGCAAAGGTTCACATTCAATTACTTGAGCTACATTTGGATCAGTGTGGACAGCCAGTAACAGTTCAGTTCAGTCAGCAAAACCACCCTTTACATTTAGCTGAGTCTTAATCAATTTATTTATTTATTTTTACAAACACATAGTGAGCGAGTGGTTTTCGTAAATGAGAAAGAGGCACAGTGTTCCTTTCCATCTACAGTCTTTTTGTGTTTTTTTTGTAAAAACCTTCCCTTGGATACAGTGATGCATTATGGGTATAAAGACAACTGCTTCACTCGCCTGCTCTAGCCTTCACTATTCATTAGGCAGTTTCCTTTTATGATGTGGACCACTTGCGCTGGGCGGCACACAAAGCATTTGGAGGAGTGTAGGGAGTGTTTGAAGCAGGAAGATTAAAGGAGAATCTGTCTCTCTTTCTCTTTCTCACTTGTTCTCTGTCTTTCACTGTCTTGCTTCTGATTTCTATTCACCTCCCGTGACCTGCTCAGGATGAATCCTGCCGTTAAGATCTATTTGTTTGTATGTCTGAGTCACCACACTGTCCAAAACATGATCCTAAGGTGTCTAATCAGGCCTGTGTTGTCACTTAGAGAAAGCACACTATAAACAGCAGGTGAACTGATATGGACATGATGAAGGTTTTGTGGCATGTTTGTACAGCAGGGTTAAACTACCCCCCCCCACCCTTTGTACAAGGCCCTTTTGATTTTATTTGAGTCCAAGACACAAAATAGAAACAAAACTCACTAGAGGAACTTTCCTAAACAATTGTGCTTATGTTCCTGAATATAGTGGTATTTTTTGATTCATGACTTGCATGCAATGACAAAAGATTACATTTCAGGTAATTCATTTAAAGGGGTCATATGATGCTGCTAAAAATAACATTATTTTATGTATTTGGTGTAATGAAATGTGTTTATGCG